ATATATGCAACATTAATGTTAGCTTTTGCATAATTGTTTTAAGATTGGGATAACAATTTTTTTGAAACTGAGCCTGAACATTTTTTAACTACTTTCCAAAAGCTGAGAGGGTGGCTCATACTGGTCAGATCAAAAACTGCCTTTTTGTCACTTTGTGGTTTCTATTTACCCTCTTTATTCTGTTCAGTGGCCTGATTTGTCTCCCAGCCCTCACGAGGCCCAAAGCTGGTACAACTTGGTTAGATTCACCAGAAACGTATTATGTGATAAAAATAGATACGGTGACATGCTGTATCAATTCTTTCATAAACATATTTTTTGTTTTATTTCACTCAACTTTTGAGAAACAGGATTACCTACAATATACTTTCAAAAGGTAAAAAGCATCTCAAAGATATAAAAATGTCACAATCACTGATCTTTTCTGTACGTTGGGCAAAATTACAACATGAATCAGTCTGTCCTCTGTGCCACAACAAACCACACTCATGCTGCACAAGACAATCCGTTTCCTCTCAGGGTTTGGTAAACTTACACCTTTTAGCACTGCAGTAGCAGAAGAATGCGGTGAGGATGAGCGGGGGTGGGTGGACGAGTGAAAGGTGTATGTACCATGAGCTGACCAAGATCTCATCATTTCCTTTGTCGTCTCTGCAGAGTTTCTCCTTCAACCCTTATTATTTGTGAGAGACATTTGACAGTTTTCAGAGTTGCATTTGGCCGGACTGAACGACCTGGCAGCTACTGTCAAGTCATGAACGTCGTGGTTGGATTGTTGCTGACCCTAATCAGATTCACGCCTGGTGAGTTCATGGTTTTTGAGCCCATTTAAAAAATGTTGAATTTCAAGTAGTCCATATACTTTCTTTACAACATTTAAATAAGTGGAAGTGAGTGAATAAGAAATAAGTCTGTTTAAAAAAAAAAAAAAAAGAAAATAGTTGACCAGAGGTTACTTTACGCCATGTGAGATCCGACTGAGTTGTAGTTTATTCCATATTTGTTCAGAAGTGCACAGTTTGCACTTTGTCCTTAATTTAAGTTCTCATCACAACCAACACAGTAAGTCACTATGCTGAAGAAACTATCAACGTGATTTGATTCATGATTATGAAATCATGAAACAAATTTTAAATGGAAGGATGTGAAATCTTTTTCCTGCTTTCATTTTGTGAATCTTAATGTACAATTGGGTGAAAAATCGCAGAGACTTAAATAACATGCGGTGTACCGTATGCATATTTCTCATCCGGGGTAATTCTCTGCAGCTAGATTTAAATTAATTTCATCAAATCAGTTCACCTCTAAAGGGGAGACAACCATTCAGCTCCTGTTTTAATCACACTTTATTGCAGTTTAGCAATAAAGTTTGGGAAAAAATGTAGTCACTCTACCTATTAGTTTCTGACCGTAAAACATCATTCAGCTTTAACAGGTAATTCATTAGTGGTTTTAAAAGATCACTACATCTTACACCTACAGAAAGAACAGTTTTATTTTCACGTTCAGTTTTAATCATCCAGACGTGAGTGAAGAATCTGGATAGCATGGGAGATTTTTAGTAATGTTGCTATTCAATCACTGCTATTATGTTTGAGCCACTTTTGACACTTCTGCAGGTGCAATGATTAGTGTGAGAAAGTGAAAGACTGATATGCAATAGTGTGAGGTGTTGTGGTCATTTTGCAGCTAAAGAAAATATTCTGACCCTTTTCTTTTGCATTTCTTCATTATTCTGTCATGCTTAGCAAAACATAATTATGACTGATAGTAGGGCAGTGCATGAGGCTCACTGATGTATGTGCAGCTGTCCAAGGTTGGATTCCCGAATAAAACTCACTAGAGCAACCAAAGCTTTAAAAGACTGACCAGTTCTTTACTTTTTTTGTCATATTTTACTGCTTAATATGGCAGTGGGCTTTTTGTAAATTATAAAATAAACTTTCGTTGGTGTTCACACGCAGCCTCCAAATAAGAGTAGACGTACTGAATACCTCTTGAACAAAGCACTCATATTCAGTGAACATTAACATTTAGTAATTAAGCAAACTCGTGATTTTATGTACGTATTATAAATAGCTGGATTCTGAAGGATCACAATCGTTTGCTTTTTCAACATGTTTTTCTCAGAATCTACAGCTGTACAATTTGACGGTGACGGCAGGCAGGATGCAGCTCAGTGTTGCATCGCTTTGGGAGGAAATGTGGTCATTCAACTGACTGAAAACACCTCAGAAATACCTAAATATAAAAATAAAAAAAAATAATGACAGAAAGAATAAGTATTTTTTATCTACCTTGCATAGATTTTCATCCTCCAATTTTGGTATATATAGTTTTAAAAAGAAACCTCATCAAGACTGACTGTAGCTCCTATGAACTGACACCAAACACTTCAGATGTCTGGTCAGATTATTACATAGAGATGGATCAGCTGGGAGGATGTCGCCGGAAACGTGCAGCATTGTTTTGATCTGTGGATCACTAAAAAAAAAAAAAAAAAAGCAGCTTTATTACAACTCTCTGCAGCAAGTGGACAGGTATTGACTCTGTTTGACCCATTGCTTTGTTTTGAAACATTTTTTATTCTGTCTCAGAATCTGCAGCAGGAGAAACTCACTGTGATGGAAGAGAGGATGGAGGTCGGTGTTTTGTAGCTTTGGGAGCAACAGTGGTCATCCAGCTGCTCAACAAAGTGTCAGAAATACCTAAATATGAATGGAAAAATGAAAGAGTTGTAATTCTTAGAGGCATTAGAGGCAAAGGGTACAATTTCTCTCAAAATGCCCTTCAGAACAGATCTCTTTTTATTCCCAGCATTGGTACAGTTAGAATCAAGAACCTCCAGAGAACGGACAGTGGAGAATATACTTTGAATATCTTTGATTCAAATGGACGAAATATGGAAAGCCGAGCTCTTCAGCTGATTGTTCAAGGTGAAGCTTTGTGTTTTCCGACTGATAATTAACTTTATAGTAGTTCTACCCATAAAGAATCACTTCATAATTTCTTTTTCCGTTTTCAGCTCCTGTATTTTCTGTCCATCTGGTCACTGAGTGTTTGTCCCAGTTAGAGATGAAGGTGTCCTGTCTCACTGAGGGAGGGGACAGTCTTCAGTACGTTTGGACTCTGGACGGAGACAAACTGACAGACTCTGAACTTCTATCAGCAAATAATGAGAATGACATTATTATTCTGCGACACAGTGTCTCAGGGAGTCTGGCCTGCTCAGTCAGGAATCACATCAGCGTTGGTTTCAAAGAGCAGATCATCTCTGCTTGTAAAGGTAGGAAGAACAAACACAATGCAAGATGCACTAAACACAGCTTACTTTTGTTTTTATAGACAAACATAGTCCATTATACAAAGAGCAGCTGGTATTATTTGTCATGTTGCGCTATTCTAAGATTCTTAAACCACAAAATGTCCTTAGCTGAATGATTCTTTAAATCTTTGGAACTGGAGTTATGAGGTAGTGAGAGATTTTAACTTAAAACACACAATTGTTATGTTCACATAAATGTCAAATGACGAAAAACAAAAACACAACCATGACTTTCTGTCAGATGCAACCATCAGCATTTTTTTAAAAGTAAAACTTTTATGTTCAGCTTCCATGTAAAGTCAAACAAGCATCTGATTACAACAAATGAAATCTACAGTAACAATCAACTTAAAATAACTGTGTAATGCAAATAACTTTGTGATCTTCAAGCATCACAAGATATCTGCATTGGTTTTTAACATCTGTCTCTCAGAGTTTACAGCAGGAGAAACTCACTGTGACGCCACAGAGGACAGAGCTCAGTGTTTTGGGGCTTTGGGAGGAACTGTGATCATCCGGCTGATGAACAACGCCTCAGAAATACCTAAACATGACTGGAAAAATAAAACATCCATATTCCTCAGAGGTGAAGGGCATGAATTCTTTCAAAGTGTCCTTCCAAACAGATTATTCTTTCTTTCCAGCAATGATACGATTAGCCTTAAGAACCTCAGCAGGTCTGACAGTGGTGAATATACTCTGGAAATATTTGGTTCTGAAGGACAGAAAACTCTGCAAACTCTTCAACTGGTTGTTCAAGGTAAAAACATTCTGACTGAAATCGACTTATCAATAGACTTTTTTGTAAGTATTCATATTATATTTAACGTTTTACTGCATTTCCTGTTGTAGAAACAAACACACTGCAAGTTGCAACTTACTGTCTTTGGGGCAACATTTTTACATTTCCTCCTGTTGCAGAAAATTGGGGATCACGTGAAACAAAGAAATTTCATTATCAATATTTATGACAATGTTTTCTCATTCTAGCTCCTGTGTCGTCTGTCCAGCTGGTCACTGAATGTTTGTCCCAGTTAGAGATGAAGGCGTCCTGTCTCTGTCAGAGAGGGGACAGTCCTCAGTACAGCTGGACTCTGGATGGACACACACTGACAGACTCTGACCTTCTCTATGAGCAGAAAGAGACGAACATTGTAGTTCTGAGAAAAAACATCTCAGGTCGTCTGGTCTGCTCAGTCAGGAATCAAGTCAGCCACGCCTCTGAGGAAAAAACTCTACTGGTTTGTAAAGGTGGGTGGGAAAAAATGGACTTTGTAACTGGACTTCTTCTTGTGTAGGAATTGCGTTTCACATTTTGTTTTTGACATTAGCAAGTGAGAAAATGATCATTTTTTAAATCATTAATTGTGATCTGTGCAATTTGATTGACAAAGGTTAGTAGTTCTTATCTATTCTAAATCACAAATTCATAAAAATCACAACGTTTATCTTATCTTCTGCAGTACAATGTGTCCAGAAATGTTAAGAAAATTTATACTTGACTTTGCTGTTTATGTTTCAATAAAGCATCTGCTTCTTGTCGCGCTTGTCTCTACAGATATCTCCCTGCTCGTACACAGTTTGCTGTTTGGTGCAACATTTGTTTCCTGTGGCGGGATCTGGCTTTACTTCAAACTGAAGGAGAGCAAAAGCAAGGACTTTGTCACTTACGCCAGAAAAGATAATCCAGATGACTTTAATGTAATTGAACAGTCTGATTTAACGAAGCATAAACACAAATAAATGTTTTTGTCCTTGTGAGTACATAAAAAAATATATATGCAGATATTAACCGTTTTTAGCATTGATCATAAACATTTAAAAAGTGTAACTCAGTGAGAAAAAAAATACTGACACTGCTCACAACTATAAGTAGAAAATAAGTCTCACATTTTATAAAACACAAAATACAAAGGAATCTATTTTAGACACATGTTTAAGTCAAACTGTTACTTCTAGGTTTTTTTCTAAGGACTGGCTTTTCAACAAAAATAGAAGCAGAGTGAAGATGAAAACGAGAGTCCTTTTAAAAGAAGTAAATAGAGGAAGAGAGTTCTCGACAGCAGTCAGTCCATATTCAGCTAAGCAAAGCTTCCTGTTGTGCTCCTTCTTTGTCTCCTTGTTTACCATCCATCCATCCATCCATCCATCCATCCATCCATCCATGGTCTTTACCTACATATCATTGGGTCGCTGGAGGGCTGAGCATGAAGCAGGTGCATCCTGGACAAATTGCCAGTTTATCTCGAGGCATCAGAGAGACACACATGACCACGTAGAGACACACACACGAAGGGCAATTCAGAGTCATTCATAAACCCACCGGATAAGTGTTTGAACTGCAGGATGTGTGTGGAGGATGGAGAACCCAGAGAAAACCCACACAAGCAGCAGGACAACATGCAAAAGGCCTCCAGAGAGACTCCAGACCGGCTTTCAATCTTCTTCCTACAAGGTGACAGCGATGCCGGCTCCACCACTGTGCAGCCTGCTGATCATACAGCAATGAGAAAACTGGAGGACAGTTTTCACTAGCTTTCATGCAAACTGACTTGAATATATTGACAGTAAAAAGCATATTTCCAGCAGTTTGCAGCATTAACGTGGTCAGTGTATTTTTAGACTTCCTCTGTTGTCTTCACTTCTCAGAAGGAAAGGCGCTGGGTGTTTAAAAAAAAATCAGCTTTTGTGTTAGCTGGTTTACAGGTGACGACAAAATATTGCTTTATATGCAGTTAAGATGAACTTTTATGGGTTCGTTTGAAATTGTAAGAAGTTGCAATTTGTAAATGATCCTGCATTCGCTTACAACACTAATTTAGCATAAGATCTGGGGTAACTGGGCTTTTCGCTGTTCAAACTATGTGAAGTCTTTAAGGTGACACGCCTGTAAGCAATCATAAAAAAAAACAACAACTGTGAAAAGCTTGTTTTTGTTTTGCACTACAGTGGAAATGTAATCTAAGTTGGCTTGAGGGGGGCAGCAGAATTGACTAAACTGTCACCACTTCCTTTTTCACCTCCACACAGCTTCGTCTGCTCAGGCCGATCAGTAACAAGATGCATTTTAAGCTATTCAGCTGCACAATGGTGTCTGGTAGCTGGTTTAAAATAATAGCTGTGGTTGGAATACTGATGGTGGTACTGGAGGTATCCTGGGGTGAGTTGGACATTTGTTTTCTTAAAGCTGATAAAAAAAAATGCTGTAAATGACACGATTGAAAAATGTTAAACATTAAAATAAACTGGATACAAAAGGATAATATTTTATGTTGAGAACTGCCTGAACATCAATTGAATTTTTATACATTTTAGTTAGGAACTGTAGAGTCACAGCTGTTCTGTTATTTGAACAGTTCGACTCACATAAACTTAGTGAATGTGAAATATAGCTTAATAGATGTGTAATTGGTCCCACGCTCTGAGAGCTATATGACGCACATCACTGATCCTTATCATGAAGACAGATATTAAACTAAAGACGTTCAATCAACACAGCAACATCACCACCTGGACCAAATGTGACCTCTTTCCAAAATGACCTCTCGTTGATCTCTTAATCAGCAGAAGCATGCTATCTGCTAAATCTCGCCATCAACACCTCCGCACAGTTAGGTATCTCTGGGTCATAGTTTAGACTGATTTCAAACACTGCATGAAGAAAAGGTCACCTCTCCATCTTCTCCATTATCTTTCCATAGCTGTAGAAATAAAGGATGTGAGTGTTCAAAATTCAGATATTTATTTATTTGAAATGTATTTTTCAATTAACTGCTTTTCATTTACTGTTCACTAGGTTTGGAAAATCAATTGCAGGTGAAAGTAAATAAAATATATAAAAAAAGAAAAACATGGCACATTCATTTAGAGAAAAAAAATGAATATTCACAAAGAAACTCTAAAGCTAAAGACTTTTTTTTATTTCCCTTTCCTTGTTTGTTCATCTTTATTTTCTTTCTTCAGTCTGTTATTTCATTCACGTTGTTTCTATGTGCATGTAATATGTAGGGCTGGTCTTCTGTTTGACATTATTTCTAATGAAAAGGAAGAAAATCTGACACCCAAATCTCAGTTTGGACATGAAGCATAAATGTTTAGATTCCATCTTGAATATTGTTAAACCACTGTAACAATATTCAACCATTGTCCTAAAACACATTCATCCAAGAGCCACTGAGAAAGATTCCTTGAAATTTTCTGATTGGCTTTGGATTCCCTTTCAAATGGGATTTATATCAGGTGTGGTGCAACTGGAAATACACGACATTTGAAACAAACTCATGATTTGTAACTTTTGAGCATCATTTTTGGTGCTTTGTTTTTAATTGCTTTGTGTTTTTTTAAACTTGCAGGTGCAGAAACTTACTGTGATTTCAGAAAAGATGGAGCTCAGTGTTTGGGATCTTTGGGGGGAACAGTCCTCCTCCAGCTGATGAGTAACATTTCAGAAATACCTAAATATGAATGCAAACATAACATATCAAAAATCTTGAGGGGTACATTCAATAATTCTCAACTAATTGGTCTTCAGAACAGACTTAACTTCATTCCCAGTAACGGTACATTAATCATAACGAACCTCAGCAGAATTGACAGTGGTGCTTATACTCTGGAAACCTTTGACTCAAATGGAAAGAGTGTAGAGAAGAAAACTCTTCAGTTGAATGTTGAAGGTAAATAATTTGTTTGTTCTACTGTCAGATTAAATTATTTTGATCGATCATCTTATTTTATTGGCATTTATAACAAATGCTATATTTAACAGTGATGCCATTTTTTTCCCTTTTTGCTTTCATTAGAAATGATATAAAAAAATAACTGGATATTATGTATATTTTTGGACTAGCTAAATTAAAACTCCACTATCATTAAATAAATGTTTCTCTCTCAGCTCCAGTGTCCTCTGCCCAGTTTGTCTCTCAGTGTTTGTCCCAGGGACAGATAAATGTGTCCTGTCTCTCTGAGGGAGGGGACAGTCCCCAGTACAGCTGGACTCTGGATGGACACTCACTGAGAGACTCTGAGCTTTTCTCTGGAAATAATGAGACTAACATCATCGTTCTGAGACAGAACATCTCAGGACGTCTGGTCTGCTCAGTCAGGAATCAAGTCAGTTTCATCTTCAGGGAAATTCAAATATCTACATGTGGTGAGTTAGAATATGCTGAATATATATTTTTGATCAATTTAAAACTAAAAAGATTGCTCCCTACACCAACTACCTTTCTTTTCTCACAGTCTTCGTAAACTGTTCTGTGAATGGGACAGAAATATCTACCTGGATGTTTCAAGAAAATGACAGTCTATGTGCTGAACCAACAGGAAACCCTTCACCAGACACACCTGTTATTAGTGGTATTCCGGGTAAGCTATTTAAATCAATAGCTTAGCATTAACACAACTTTGAATCAAACCTAGAGGATTGATCAATCTTGTACAGTACATTAACAAGTGAAAATTTAGTAATGAGGGTTCATTTTTTAAATGTATTTTATTTTTATGTAAGGAACAGAATGGTGGCCAGTAGTAGCTGGTGGACTCGGAGCTCTGATAATTATCGTAGTTGTAAGCTCTGCAATCATCTGTGTCAGGAAGAAGAAAAAAAACAACAGAGGTAATAAAGTTATTTCTTAGTGATGACATTAACATTGAAACAAAACACATCCAGTTGACATCCTGTGCTATAATTTCCCATTCTTCTGTAGTGGAGGAAGATAATGTAGAACTAACCAATGATAACGGGAGAAGAAGGCAAGAGGAGCAATCTGGGGACGTCCAATACGGCCAAGTGACGAAGAAACCTCGGCATTCTGATGTAACGTTGTCAGATGATGTGTATGCAAAGGTCCTTAAGCAAACCTAAACTAGATACATTCATGTTGTCTGCATTATACTGAAATCAAGAAAGAAGAATTCACAACCAAATATCTTTGTTTTTCCTCGATTTTGAGCACATATATGATTTACTGCCTCAAAAAGTTGATGAATGTACTTTTATTGATGTTCTTTTCTTGTTTGTATTGACCGTACATGTTTTTAAACTGTACAGTTGAGATAAAAGTTGTGTAAAGTTGCGTGTTTCATCGGTTACAAGTTGTAGCCAGCCATGTTTGCAATCGTGTAATAGAGATGTGATCAAATGAGCTTCACTGCTCGTAATACGGAAGAGGAATAGGGCCACTGAAAAAAAAATAAAGCAGTTCTGACTTTCATCTCAGAGTTCTGAGAAAAAAGTCAGAATTCTGACTTTAATCTCAAAAATAATAATTCTGACTTTAATGTCAGAATTCTGAGATTAAAGTCAGATTTTTTATTTTATGTTTTTTTTTTCCTGTGGCCCTAATCCTCTTCCGTATTTTAATCTCCTCTCTACTGAATGAAAACAACATTTTGTACAGCAGGGTCAACAAAAAAAGTTTGTTTTCCACCAGCCAGACTCCATAATGTCTAATGAAACACGTTATGATATGTTTGAGATTTTTAAGAAGTTTTTAAAATCCATGCAAGCAATGGGACTACGAACATTAGTACAGACACACAACACAAAACACATGATTAAATGATGCTGATATCTTTTTGTTCCTCTTCTTGTCGTCTCTTGGACCACTTCCTGTCTTTTTGTATCTCTTTGCTTTTTTGTCCAAGGCAAAGATCTCTGACCTTTTTTGACAAGGTCAGAGGTTCTTGTCAGAAAGGATCTTGACTTAACATTATTTCTAACTTGCAATGAAACATCCCCATCAAAAGTCCTGATATTTTAGGAGTTCGGTCTCATCCAGAGGATGACACGTTTCCAGCGTAGGTTACCATGGTGATGGACCCAGTTAGGAGGTGAACCAGCTGTGCGATAACAATCTTAACTTGCTGTAACTTTGATAACATTGACTAATACCACGTCCTTGTTCATGTGTACTATTTTATACTGCTATTATGTTCGAAATAAATAAATAATTTCTAAGTGCATTTCTCTGTACATTCTTTAAATGTTTAAAGCCACTAAATACTGATATGCAGTAGATAAAATGTTGAATAACTTCATATTATTTTATATTATTTTCTCCATGTATTTAGTGCAGGGGTCAGCAACTTTTGCAGTTTTGTCCTCAGTGCAGCTAAAACAAATTTGTTTGGAGCTGCAGAAGCAACATGATTCTGAAAAATAGAGCTCGTTTTTGTAATATGTGCTATAAAATATTTGTGGTTTTTAAATTAAATAATCCTATATTTGTTTTAGTTATTCTCATAAATATTATTTTGAATGGGACATTTACAGTTTATAGAAAATGATCTAAAAAGGACATGGTTTGTGGCTTTCCCTCTGATTTATATTTTTACTTACCCAACCTTTTTCAGCAAAGATTTTATGCTTATATCACATATTTAAAGATAAAAGAAGGTCAAAAATTACATTTATATTTTCATCTTCTGCTTCTGCAAAGATCAGTTTTTCCACTCTAGAATTAAAAAAGAAAAACTAAATCAATTTTGTCTGGTGTCATGGTACATATAGGCTTACCTTTTAATAACTGTGGTGGCAAAAGAACCTGGTGAGACGTAATGAAGGTCCTGTTTCATTTTCTAATCTAAAACTTGATGAAGCAGTCATCACTTCCTTTTTACCCCACTGCAGACATAGTTTCTATCTTTACATGTATTAGTCATACCAGACAGTTTATAGTTTATAGTGCTGCATTGCGTCTGACTGTCATGAAAGCTGTTTTTGGATTATTGGTGATGCTACTTAGAGTATCACAAGATAAGTGGTCATTTTTTATTTTTACAATCATATTTTTTTAGAACAGTTTTTTTTGCTAACAACACTGATTTTAGTTAAGGCTACTAAATGATCCGTATAAAACAGACTTAACGATGCTAAGTTGTTGATTTGATGAGATTGGGGACGTGATATAATGTCAAGATAAAACTTTGCACCCAGCTTGGTGATATTTTGTACCACCTTTGACAGCCATAGCATTGCTTTTGTTTTTTCTTTTTAAAGAAATGTGGTTTTGACATTTCCCTACAATACATATTTGCTGTCAAATTTTTGAAAAGTCAATGCTCAGCTTTTATTAGTGTAAAATGGAAATCAGTCAATATATCACAGCTGCTCATTTTCCATTAAAACCCTGCCAATACGGTTTATTATATTGGGGAAACTAATACAAAAAAAATAAATAAATAAATAAATAAATAAAAAAAATTCGTGTTGACATTTCTTTTCTTGAGCAGCAGTGGAGACTTTCTGCGATGGCAGACAGGATGGAGCTCTGTGTTACGGAGCTTTGGGTGGAAGTGTGGAGCTCCGGCTGATGGACAGCGCCTCAGAAATACGCAGATACAAGTGGAGGAAGAAAGTATCAATGGCCAAAAACTACCAAATGATTCTTACAGGCCAAAAGAACAAGATTAAAAATAATACTTTGAGTAGCAGATCTGTGTTTATTCCCAGTAATGGAACGTTCTGGATCAATAACCTGAACAGCACTGATGGTGGTGAATACACGCTTGAGTTTTTTGATTCAAATGAACAAAAGACTCGAAGTCAGACTCTACAGTTGTTAATAGAAGGTAAATCTTTTTGTCATCTAATTCTTTCAAACTTTGAAAGATACTTTTTAATCATATCAACAGCTTCTCTGTGTGTGTTTCTCTTAGCTCCAGTGTCCTCTGTCCACCTTGTCTCTGAGTGTTTGTCCCAAGGACTAGTAAGGGCTTTCTGTCTTCCCGAGGGAGGGGACAGTCCTCAGCTCAGCTGGACTCTGGATGGACATGCACTAACAGACTCTGAGCTCCTCTCTCGAGATAATGACACAAACTTCATTGTCCTGAGACAAAATATCTCTGGACGTCTGTCCTGCTCAGTCAGGAATCATATCAGTCATGTCTCCAGAGATCAAACTGTGTCTGTCTGCGAAGGTGAGATAATTTACTTTGACCAAATTTTTGTTTTATTGTCTTGTTAAATACAGTAGTTTGCAAACTTATCGCCACTAAACCTTTTGAACCATCATGCAACCATAAACTTGAGCATTTTGACTCACTTTGCGTGCCATACATTCGTATTAAGTCTTCCTGTGAAAACTGTTTATTATTTTACTCTTTAAAGTTATGTACTACTTTGTGTTGGTCTGTTACAGTATTCTGATGAAATGCATCTAAGTTTAAGGTTGTGATGTGACGAAATGGAAAATATATAAGTTGTACAAACAATTTAAAAGGTGCTGTATCCAAAGGTATCAAATCTTCAGGCTGTATTAATAACTGTCACACATAAGATTTATAAAAGGTAACATATGTACTTTACGACTGAGACAGGATTAACCTCCAAGATACCACACTTTATTTTAAAATAATATATCTTTATTTTACATATGTAATTATTTTTAGTTCTGTGCAAATGTTAGTTTTTCTGTTGCATTTAATAATAAAAACTGGTCACGTTTTCATATGAAGATGCAAATAAAACTTATGAATTGAGGAGGTTTTCTGTTAAGAACAAGCAAACTATAATTGCAAATGATAGTTGAACTGATAAAATAATCATTTAAAAATTAACAAAAACTAAACAATTATAATGGCCTGTAAAATAAGTGGAAATATATTTGCAGGAACTGCAGCACTGTCATGAGTTTTGTGTGTAAATGGACTCTCACAAAAATGACTCTCATCTACTTGCAGAAATGGAAACTTACTGCGATGGCAGACAGGATGGAGTTCAGTGTTATGGACCCCTGGGGGCAACAGTGGTTCTCCATCTGATGGATAGCTTATTAAAAATACCTAAATATGAATGGAGACATCAAAGCTCAACAATCCTTAAGGGCAGAACGAACACATTTTTTCCACATCCCCTCCAGAGCAGATATCTCTTAATACCGAGTAATGGTACATTTACCATAAAGAACCTTATGAAGGCCGACAGTGGTGAATATACTCTGGAAACATTTGACTCAGATGGACGGAAAACAGGGCAGCATGCTCTTCAGCTGACTGTTCAAGGTGAATTTCCTTTCCTTCCTGATAAAATTATGGCAATGTATCATATCATTAACACAGAACTTTATACATTTTCTGTTTATTATTGCAAACTTTGAAGAAAAGACACCAAAGGTGTGTGAATTTCATTAGTATTTCACAGTTTATTGTCTCTCCTTCAGCTCCTGTGTCCTCTGTCCAGCTGGTTACTGAGTGTCTGTCCAAGTCAGAGTTGAAGGTGTCCTGTCTCATAGAGGAAGGGGACAGTCCTCAGTACAGCTGGACTCTGGATGGAAACACTCTGACAGATTCTGAGCTCATTTCTGGAAACAATGGGACAAACTTCATCATTCTGAGACAAAATGTCTCAGGACGTCTCCTCTGCTCAGTCAGGAATCACATCAGTCGTGTCTCCAAAGGAGAATTCATTTCTCCGTGTAAAGGTGAGAATAAAATCATCCCAATGCTTCTTTTAAATATTTAGTGTTTTAGATTGCCTAGAAAAGGATTTCATCAAAAATATTTTTTTACTTGAACATATGACATTTCACGATTGATTGAACCACCACAGCAATTTTACATTGCACTGCACTATGTTCACCAAGACTTCTGTCATATATTTATTACCTAATTACAGCATTGTGTTTTCACTGTACTGTATTGATGCTAACATAACTTTTGGTTTTTGTTCTTCATGTCTGAACAGATACTTCTCCGCTCAGATGTGGTTTGATGTTTGCTGCAGCCGTTCTTACATGTGGTGGGATTGGCCTCTATTTCAAACGGAAGGAGACAAAATATAAGAAAATGTTAATCACACCACAAAGAAACCTGAATCCAGAGGACCTTCAAGTTATTGAACAAAGTAATTTGACTGATGTTTAAGTGTTACTCTTTATCTTTTGTTAATGTGTGAAGATTTCAGCAGCTCAGTTTAAATGTCCGAGAAAAGGTCTGAATAACTGCTTTATTTTAGCATCTATATAAGTATCTGTCCTGACATTTAATGTAAACATGCATGTTGATTTAAATATAAAATTTTCATTGTTAACCCAAACCGTAATATTATACAAGTTATACTTTATATACTTGGTAGAGAACAACTGATAGTTCACAGACATTCATAATTTAATTCTTATTCAAATTTGAAAAACACTTTATTGATCCCAAAGGAAAATGAAATGTTGTTGTAACTCATTTATTCAAAGTCTTCAAATAGTTATTGTAGGCAGTGATGGCTGTTGGCAGGAAAGATCTCTTGATTAATATTTGGACTTTGAAATTATGTATACTTTTCCAACTTTAAGAAGCCTTTCATGTACATATATTCATCATTGCTTCTAATACTTAAAAATAAACAACTAAAGACTTACCTGTTTGTCGTTTATCCTGTTTTATTTTCAGTTGTGCAAATGTAATGAATGACAAACTGGTTCTTTCATAAACACAGTGCTGAAGTCAAGAATCTCTATTTTAGTGTACAACATCCTCAGTTACAGTTGCACCTTCACCATGTGTGAAGGTGCAACACACACAAAGAACAAAAGTGTTTTTCTTTTGTTCTTCTTAGACGATCATTCAGATTAAAATGTGCTTTTGATACATTTGATTCATCTGTTCCTCTTGGCTCATTTAATGAATATTTTTTTCTAATTCCTGTTTCTCTTGAAATTATTACAATGATTTTTTTTTTCTCAAAGTCTTTTCTTTTATTTAATCCCAAGCATAGTGATGACGTCTACTGACTGTGGAGCACAGGATAAAGACATTGAAAGCTGAATTTATAAGCAGACTTTGTCTATAGTTTCATTTTGTGCCATGTCAGAAAATATTGACAGTCCTATCTGTTAAGTCTGTTGATTGGTTCAGGCCTCATAAATACATTCAGGGCGTATGAGGTTGATTCACTTTTTAAGCTTCAGTTTGTCAACCCATGAAATTGGAAAAATATTAGATGTATGGATAGCAGAATACTAATTTAGTCTGACTTTTATATTTAACACTGATTTTACAGTAGGTTGAGCCGTATTAAGATGTGTGTTGATGTTTGAAGTATTTAATTTTTTTTTTGTATTTTTAATCTGACTCAGGATAATCGAAAACTTCAGATGCTGAACTAAACACTTTGAAGCTGAATTAAAAAAAACCTTCTCAATGTTGCCATCTGTTTTATAAAAGGACCAACGTGGCATAATATATAACCCCAAAAATATACTTCAGTACTATCCATACTCATCAAAAGTAAAAATATATATATATAGCAGGAAAGAGAGACTGATTAGTAGATGGTAGTATTATCTCAGTCAGGAAGGCATTAGACAAATGGAAAGTGAGACCAGATGTAACCTCTATTGAGAGAAAAAAAATGGAAGGAATACATACAATTAACAGTAAAAATAACAGGAAATGATGCAAATTGGAGAACATTAGAAGCCAAAAGAAAGAAAACGTCTTAGGTTTGCCTTCCAGCACCCTAAGCCAATAGAAGCGTAACTAAAGAGATAGCTTAGGCCAGTCTAACTGTAAGCTTTATCAAAAAGGAAAACTTTAATCCTCGTCTTAAAAGTAGACAGAGTGTTTGCCGTAAAACTGGGAGCTGGTTTCACAGGAAAAGACCCTAATAACTAACATTCTGCCTCCTATTCTACGTTTGGAAATTGTCTGAACCGTTGAGCCTGATTCAGCAAACTGGTAAACTTGCAATCTGACAGCTAAAAGTGTTCAGTTTTCTCTCAGTGTCACCATAGCAAAACGTTTGCTGTGGTGGGAGGTGTTTCGTGTTTGGTTGAGAAGTGGTCACAAACTTGTCATTTCCTTTTTCATCTGTGCGCTTCTCTTCTCAGGCTGATTATTAATAGGAGCCATTTTACACCTTTCTGGATAGTTTACTTGCACATAGTGTGGGAGCTGCTAGAGAGAAATGAAAGCCGTTGTTGGACTATTGATAGTGCTACTGAGAGTATCACATCGTGAGTTTTCCTTTTTTATATTTCATTTAAAAAAAAAAAAGTCGGGCCTGGTGTGACACAGTTGTTAGAGCGGGTGTCCCACATACAGAGGCTAAAGACCTCAGTGCAGATACTCCTGTTCTCGATGCCTTTGTCGAATGTCTTCCCCTCTTTTCTCTGCCCCCCTTTCTGTCAGATTACCTTCAAATGAAAGCCACTAGTGCTCCAAAACATTTTGGAATAAAAAGAAAACAATTTAATTAATACAGAATTGTAACTTACAATGGAGTATTAGGGTCATACTAAAAATAAATAAAAAATTATGAAAATAAAGTCATATTATTATGAGAATAAGGTCATACTATTATGACTTTATTCTCATAATTTTTGCAGCTGTAATTTTATAACTTTCTCAAAATTGTATTTTTTTTTTCTTAGTGTGACCCCGATACTCCTACATAGTAACTGAGCCAGATGAATAACAAGACTGAAGAAATAAAATATGTTCTTAAATGCATGTCTGAAGTCACTAGGGGTGCACCAGTTGCAGTTTTCCTCTCTCATAGCAGAGCAAAAGAGGACAGTGGATGAATTTTAGACATTTGTCGAGGAAGATAAAATCGGTGGATAAGCTTGGCTTCACATTTAAGTATCTATTGATAACTGATCTTCTAGAGTTAAAGAAATAGAGGTGGATTTCTTAGCTGGCTGTCACACCACTAAAAGTCACACTTTATCTTTCAGTAATGTAAATCAGCCATAAATGAAAAACATCCTCAGCTTTGCTGTATGCTGAGAGTTTTGGACAACTTGAACTTGACCTGGTTTCCTCCACATATATTCCAACTAGATTGCTTTGTTTTTGGTTCCTTAGAGTCTGAAGGGTAAGTTTTTTTCTTCTTTCAACCTATTTTTCAACATTTTCAGCTGCTGAAACCTACTGTGATGCCGGACAGAAGGGAGCTCAGTGCTATGGCGCTTTGGGAGGAACTGTGGCCTTCAAGCTGATGGACGAAACCTCAGAAAAACACAGATTCAATTTGAAGAAGGAAGTATCAATGACGAATGAATCAAACCAAATTATTCTTTCTGTCAGAAGCAATGTGATTACTTCCAACACCATGAGCAGCAGATCTGTCTTTATTCTTAATAACGGAACATTCAAGATCAATAACCTGAGCAGAAGCGACGGTGGTAAATATACGCTTGAGATTTTTGATTCTACTGGGAAAAGAAAAGAGAATAGGACTCTACAGCTGCATGTTCAGGGTAAATTTGTGTTTTTTTTATTGAACTCTATTTCATTTCGGTAATGATTAAGTCATTCTAAACAAAAAACATTCTGAAAAACTTTGCATGTTATAAAATAGCTCAAAAAACGTACTGTCAAGTGCAATATTTCTTTCTACTTTTACATTAAACATAAAACTATTAAGTCTTTTGTACCTTAGTGTAAATGTATTTTATTTTCTTTGGATGTTAAATGTATATTTGAATGGCTTATTCTGCACACGAATTCCTATTAAACTTAAACTTGTGTAAAAGTATAATTGGCAAATAAAGCTCTGAATCTGAATATTACTCCTGTCCTCTGCATTTTTCAGCCCGTGTGTCGTCTGTGCGTATGATCTCGGAGTGTGTGGCTCAGTTGTTAAAGGTGTCCTGTCTCTCTGAGGGTGGGGACAGTCCTCAGTACTCCTGGTTTCTGAATGGACAACCAACCGGAGACACAGAGATCGTGAACAGAAATCCTGTGAATAACATCATTATTCTGAAACAAAACATGTCAGGATACCTGACCTGCTCGGTTTGGAATAAGATCAGCAGTGTCTCAGAAGAAAGGAGGATATCTCTTTGTGAAGGTCAGTGAACTGTATATGAGTTTGTTTAATTGATCTTTAGCAGCTACTTTTTGAATTTCTCAAGACACAAATGGATAATTACCGATGTAATGCTAAGATAATAATACCACTGCCAAAATGATTCAGTGATAAAAACCCCAAAATAGACAGAAAAGAAAATGGAATCACTGATAAAACACATTAGTTTCTGATCACTTTTACTACTGACTGAACAGATACCGGACCAGGATTAAGTGAGCCTGGCTGCATGCCTGGTTTGGAGCAGGCCAGCTGCGCAGGATACAACACCATGGCACCTTGAGTGTTGCTGCTTTTGTGAAACCGATGAGAGGTTTATTTCAACCAGGTTATCTGATAAAACCTAGTCTAATTCCAGTGGTGGAGAAAGTACTCAAGAAATGTACTTAAGTAAAAGTACAAATACACAGACAAAAATGTACTCAAGTAAAAGTAAAAGTACCACATTAACATTTCTACTTAAGTAAAAGTAAAAAAGTACTGGCATTTAAAAATACTTAAGTATTAAAAGTAAAAGTACTTGCTGAATGCATTACCTAATCCCTAATACAATATCATTAAGTGAACGATCGTATTTAATTTTAATACATTAGAAATGTGCCATTTTAATGAACAATGCCACAGATAAAGCATGTTTTTATTATGTTTAATCTCTGTAACATAGTTTAGACTCAGATATGTGATTCTATGCATCATAATTTCAGGGATGGAAACATCTTGTCTCCTGTCCCAACATAGCATGAACTTCACTTTTTTTTGCCACTATTGGCATTCATTTTTAAAGAAATCCAACAGAAAGGGGATGGAAAGAAGGTGGGTGAGGGAGGACGTGCAACCAGGAGCCAGTAGCAGAGTTGTAGTCAAGACCACGTCAAGACCAGCACCCCACACTACGTGACACAAAAACATTAAGTTTTACCTATCAAAATTAGTTCTCAAATTGATCTGAAAGAACCACATTCCCATAAAACACCTACATATTAAATACTTTATTGGGTCTCTGGAGAAATTGATCGCATACTGCGGAGACAATTCATAAGATTCATAAGATATTCATAAGATAATTCATAAGATAGACCAACACAAATACACACATAATAGCAAATTGTAAAGAAAATGTACATGGCTTTCAAAAAAGTGTTTCAAATCAAAATCTGAAACATTTTTAGTAGCAAATATTTGTAGAACCACCTTACCCTGCCATTACTGCTGGCAGCGTTTTGGTACAACTTCACCAGCGAACATCTAGTTATTTTTTTGTGTAAAATAGCCTAGGTTCAGGCAGACAGGACAGAGAGGGCCAGTGAATAGATAGATTTTTAAAATCTGCTTCACACATTTATAGCCCTTAATAAACATGGTCTTTCATATATCAGAGATCTGATTGTTCTACATGTTTATGAAAGAACACTTCACTCCCAGACTGTAAGTCTAGTGCTTGGTTTCTAAAAGGAGAATGTAATTCAGATCTTTTAAATTATGAGGCTCATCTCGTGTGGATTCAGTTTAGTCCCAGTTCTTGACACCTTCATTGTATAACAAGATCATAATATATCTTAAAATAAGAAATGTCAACATCTAAGCTTACTTTATGAGAATACACATTATTTCTGATGGTTTTCCACAAATGATTAGTTTGTTAATTTTTAGATATTAATCTTTTACTTTTAAGGTTGTCTGTCTAATTTTTCCAGATAAGACTCATGAAACTCAATGTAGCATCCAAGAAGACAAAGCAAAGTGTTATGGAGCTTTGGGAGGAGCCGTGGTCATTCAACTGATGAACAACACTTCACAAACACCCAAATATGAATGGAAAAATAAAACATCAACAATCCTAAGAGGGAGATGGAACAATTTTGCTCCAAATGACATGGAGGGCAGAAATATCTTTATTCCCCTGTATGGTACGTTCAGCATCATGAATCTCTGCAGAGCTGACAGCGGTAGCTACACTTTGGAAACGTTTGATTCAGATGGACGAAAAATAGAAGAGAGGAGTCTTCAGCTGATTGTTGAAGGTAAATGATTTTTCTCCATATGGAAGAAGATCTGTCACAATGACAGATCTCCATTTAAGATCTTAGTAGTTTTCTTAGCATATTCCACATATGTGCTTCTTCTGCAAATCTGCAAATTTCTGGAAATAAATCAAATGTTTCTCTTTCAGCTCCTGTGTCCTCTATCAAGCTGGTGCCTGAGTGTTTGTCCCAGGGTCAGATGAAGGTGTCCTGTCACCCAGACGCAGGTGATAGTCTGCAATACAACTGGACTCTGGATGGACGCACACTGACAGACTCTGAGCTCTTCTCAGGAAGTAATGAGACTGACGTCATTGTTCTGAGGCAGAATATCTCGGGACGTCTGGTCTGCTCAGTCTGGAATCAAGTCAGCCACGCCTCTGAGGAAAAAACTCTACTGGTTTGTGAAGGTGAGAAAGAACAGATCTTTGTAACCAAACGTGTTATATCACACACTGTTTTTGACATTAGGAAACCAGAACATGATCATTTTGTAATCCTTTAATTTGAAAAAACTCATATGTGCAATATGTTTGTAAAAAATGAAGAGTTCTCTTCAATACCAGATCACAAAATTTTAAAATGATCCAGCGTACTCTGCTGTATAATTTGGCCAGAAATATGAATACAAGTTGTAGTTGACTTTGCTGTTTCGTTCCAGTATAACCACTGGTTGTTGTTGCTCTTGTCTCCACAGATTTCTCTCTGCTCATACACAGTTTGCTGTTTGGTTCAACAGCTCTTTCCTGTTCTGGCATTTGGCTCTATTTCAAATTGAAGGAGACCAAATACAAGGAGTTTGTTGGTCACACCACTAAGAAAAGAGAATCCAGATGACTTTAATGTCATTGAACAGACTCATCCATCTCATGTTTTTGTAAATTTCTCCTTCCTGTGTTTTGACAATTGAGGAGATCAACCTCCTTAAGATATTCAGAAAAGCACATTTATAATTACAACTCTGCTTTGAGTCTTCTATGTTTGACTGTATATCACATATGAATTGTATGAAAGGTTTTAAGCCTATGTACAACCGTGTTAGAAAAAACACAAAGTTTTATTGTGCAGGGATTCCAGTTTAAATTTAGTAATAATCAGCTAAAGAAAAGAACAGATTCTGTGTCATCTTTAAGTCGTCATATTTTGGATTTCACACATTTGGCAAAAAGCTTGCTGCCAGGTCACAGTGATACCAACTTCACCATTGTGCAGCCTGCTGATCATCAATGAGAAAACTGGAGTTCAGTTTCCACTAACGTTCATGCAGGCTGACTTGAGTATAGTGGCAGCAAAGATATATTTCCAGCAGTTTGCAGTATTAGCATGGTCAGTGTATTTTTAGACTTCCTCTGTTGTTTTCACTTAAGAGCTCTCACAGTTGAAGGCGAAGTGACAAAAGAATGTCAGCTTTTGTGTGACATTGGTTAAGAAAGTTTAAATAAAAGCAATTTATATGACGGCAGATTTTTGTTTTATAGTCAGTTAACATTTATTGGTTCACTAGAAATTGTAAGAAGTTGGGATTTGTAAATGATTCAGCATCTTCACTTGCAACACTAATTTTATATGAGATCTGGGGTAAATTGATGGGCTTTTGCTGTTCAAACTATTTTTAAGATTATATGCAATCACAAAAAACTGTGAAAAGCTTGTTTTTGTTTTGCACTACAGTGGAAATGTAATCTAAGTTGGCTTGAGGGGGGCAGCAGAATTGACTAAACTATCACCACTTCCTTTTTCACCTCCATATAGCTTTGTCTGCTTAGGCTGATCAGTAACAAGATGCATTTTAAGCTATTCAGCTGCACAATGGTGTCTGGTAGCTGGTTTAAAATAACAGCTGTGGTTGGAATACTGATGGTGGTACTGGAGGTATCCTGGGGTGAGTTGGACATTTGTTTTCTTAAAGCTGATAAAAAAAAATTGTAAGTCACATGGTTTAAAAATGTTTTATAACATTAAAATAAACTGAATACAAAGTGAGAATATTGTATGTTGAGAACTGCTTGAACATCACTTGAATTTTGTTAAATAGTAGTGACAGCTGTTCTGTTATTTAGATTCACACATGAGCTTAGATAATGTGAAATGTAGCTTAATAGATGTGTAATTGGTCCCACGCTCTGAGAGCTATATGACGCACAGCATTGATCTGTATCATGAAGACAGATATTAAACTAAAGATGTTCAATCAACACAACAACATCACCACCTGGACCAAATGTGACCTTTTTCCAAACTGACCTCTCAATCTGCCAATCGCCAGAAGCATGCTATCTACTAAACCTCGTCATCAAGGTCTCCGCACCGTAAGCTAGCTCTATACTTTGGGTCCAGAACCTCTGGGTCATAGTTCTGACTTATTTCAAACACTGCATGAAGAAAAGATCGGCTCTCCGTCTATGGGATTATTTTTTTCTAGCTGTAGGATGTTAGTGTTCAAAATTCTAATATTTACCAAGCTGAAATGCATTTTCAATTAATTACTTATCAGTTACTGTTCACTAGGTTTGCAGTTGCAGGTGAAAGCAAATCTTTCACCTGCACATCTGTTTAATGAGAGTCTAAAGGCACGTTCACCCAAGATCCACTGTGAAAGATTTTTATAATGTGTCTGATTGGCTTCAAGGTTTTCTTGAAAGTTATCTCATGAATGTCAGGGAAATACAAAAAACAATGCTAATAAAATACAAAAAACAAGAATTTTGAAATAAACTCATGATTATTATTTAATTTGTAACTTTTGAGCATCATTTTTGGTGCTTTGTTTTTAATTGCTTTGTTTGTTTGTTTTTTTTAATTTTCAGGTGCAGAAACTTACTGTGATTTCAGAAAAGATGGAGCTCAGTGTTTGGGATCTTTGGGGGGAACAGTCCTGATCCAGCTGATGAGTAACATTTCAGAAATACCTAAATATGAATGCAAACATAACATATCAAAAATCTTGAGGGGTACATTCAATAATTCTCAACTAATTGGTCTTCAGAACAGACTTAACTTCATTCCCAGTAACGGTACATTAATCATAACGAACCTCAGCAGAATTGACAGTGGTGCTTATACTCTGGAAACCTTTGACTCAAATGGAAAGACTGAAGAGAAGAAAACTCTTCAGTTGAATGTTGAAGGTAAATAATTTGTTTGTTCTACTGTCAGATAAAATTATTTTGATCGATCATCTTATTTTGTTGGCATTTATAACAAATGCTATATTTAACAGAGATTTTTTCCTTTTTGCTTTCATTAGAAATGATATTAAAAAAATAACTGGATATTATGTATATTTTTGGACTAGCTAAATTAAAACTCCACTATCATTAAATAAATGTTTCTCTCTTAGCTCCAGTGTCCTCTGCCCAGCTTGTCTCTCAGTGTTTGTCCCAGGGACAGATAAATGTGTCCTGTCTCTCTGAGGGAGGGGACAGTCCCCAGTACAGCTGGACTCTGGATGGACACTCACTGAGAGACTCTGAGCTTTTCTCTGGAAATAGTGAGACTAACATCATCGTTCTGAGACAGAACATCTCAGGACGTCTGGTCTGCTCAGTCAGGAATCAAGTCAGTTTCATCTTCAGGGAAATTCAAATATCTACATGTGGTGAGTTAGAATATGCTGAATATATTTTGATCAATTTAAAACTAAAAAGATTGCTCCCTACATCAACTACCTTTCTTTTCTCACAGTCTTCGTAAACTGTTCTGTGAATGGGACAGAAATATCTACCTGGATGTTTCAAGAATATGACAGTCTATGTGTTGAACCAACAGGAAACCCTTCACCAGACACACCTATTCTTAATGTTGTTGCGGGTAAGGAGTAACTTTAAATCAACAACTTATTTTAAACACTTCTTTGAATAAGACCCAGGATCCTCAAACGACTGGCTTGAAGATCCTGCAAATCTTGTTTGGAAAAAGATTTGCAGGAAAAAAAAATATGGTCATGTGCAACACAATATTATTTCTTGTGACATTTTAAGAGTGTGTAGTTTTCAATGATTGATTGCAAACTTTGCAGACAGACATATAGCAGTGGACTACTGTATCCAACATAACATAACTATAGTATTGTGTTTTAACATACTATAACATAACTCTTGGTTCTTGTTCTTCATGTCTAAACAGATAATTCTCAGCTCAGATGTGGTTTGATGTTTGCTGCAGCCGTTCTTACATGTGGTGGGATTGGCCTCTATTTCAAATGGAAGGAGACAAAATATAAGAAAATGTTAATCACACCACAAAGAAACCTGAATCCAGAGGACTTTCAAGTTATTGAACAAAGTAATTTGACTGATGTTTAAGTGTTACCCTTTGCAGGTATCTTGCTTATGTGTTAAGAGTTTAGCAGCTCAAAAAGGTCAGAATAAGAATATCTGCTCTATTTTAACGTCTTTAATATCTTTCCTGACATTTAATATAAAAATGTCTTGTTTTCTTAAATGTAAACTGAACCTATTGCAAATATGTATGATTTGTCGTATGCTTTCACATATGAGTTTGTTAAACTAAACTATACTATTATTAAATTTATACTTTTGAAAGATGCTTACCTGATAGAGAGCAATTTATAGTTCATAGGCGTTCATATGATTTACATTTGGAATTTATGCATATTTTTCCAACTTTGAAAGTCTTTCTATGTATCTGTTCATCACTGTAACTAATACTTTAAAAATAAACAACTAAGATTTATTACCTGATTGTCATTTATCCATTTTTATTTTCAGCTGTGCAAATATGATGAATGACAAACCTTATTCTATGAACATTGACTCAAAAATGAGAAGTCAAGAATCTCTATTTTAGTGTACAAAATACTGTTACAACTACCTCAGTTAACTTTTGTTTACTGATTTGCTCTCCATTCAGATACACATGCAACTCAGAAAAAACTATGCATTAAATAAATTTGAAACATTCATTCCAGCAGCTATGTAAATATAAAATATGTAGAGGATCATTCAGTCTGCATTGCTTGCATGAAGAGCAGTGTTTTCTTTTGTGTTTCTTTGAGCATCTTTAAGATTAAATTATGTTTTTGATTCATTTTCAGAGGTAATCGCTCTTTTCCTGTAAGCTTATCTTACAAATACTTTGAGTTTGTTTCTTTTTGATTTTTCTCAAACTCCTTTCTTTTATTTAAACCAAAATCTGTATGAGGACATAGAAAGTCATGGCAATTTGTAATTTCTAAGCAGAGTGATGACATGCGCTGACTGAGGAACAGAGGAGGATAACATTGAAAGCTGAACTTATACTTCAGGTTTTGTTGAATTTACATTATTCTGCTGCATCACAACTGCGATTGTTTTCTTGATATTTAGGGATCAATGCAAAGTTGGCATTTTTAATGGACTTTCAATGCAACTTTTAGAGCAACTTTGCATTAAAAGTGTCATTGTTTACCGAATGACACTTCATGACAACTGTCATAAACACTCATAAAGACTTCTTTATATTTATGACAGTGTCATGTCAGTTTTATGCACACCCCTTCAAATAAAGTGTTAACAAGCTTTCTTTACTTTTCCAGCTACAATCATCTAAAACACCTGGTTTATTAAAACGTCCCTTTTCATGAAACTGGTAATATTTGTGGGTTTGGTTCTGTTTTGGGGTTTTTACTCCAGCCCTTTTTGCTTTTTTAGTCCTGAGCTGATGCAGCTGGTTGTGTAAGATTTATGTGTCAATTTCCCTTAAGTAACATCTTCATGTGATGATATGTTCACTTCCCTTTTCACCTCTGTGCAGTGGGGATATTAAGCCTATCTTCTGATTGTTCATCTGATTCAGAGTGATCATGGTCATCAGAGCATGATAACTATTTTCTTAGCACTTCCTGACAGTTGCTGTTTCAACAGATGTAAAAGGACATGGCAGCCAGTGTTGGACTGCTGTTTCTGCTCATAGGAGTCTCTTATGGTGAGTTATTATTACATGTGGAATAACCAGTGTTTTATTTACAACATAGCAATGTTTTTTTTTTTTTTTTTTTATTTTGTGACCTTAATTAAAAATAAGCCTAATTTTACATTTGTTCGTGTTTCTTGGCAGTTCAAGTGTTATGCCGTCTGCGACTTTTGTTTTTATTGAAAGGAGTAAAGTTCTGATCTGACCATGTCCTTCCAGTTTTGCTTTTTCTTTCCTTCCTCATTCTTCCTTTTTTTTTATTAGAAGCTTTAAATATTTTTTACAGAACAATCTTGAGCTGAAAAACAACTTTTGAAAGTTCTTGAAATGATTCGAAAAACAAGAGTCTTCATAATACATCATACTGAACAACAGAGGTGTAACTTTAACTGTCCAGCTCAAATGTTATAGAGCAACTTATCATTTTACAACCTCATCAAAATGTGGCATAGATGTGAATTTTACTTGCTCCTATAATTATAACTAAAACTTTAAACTAAAAGTTTAGTTATAATTATAACTAAACTAAACTTTTATCAATTTATTTCATTGATAATTTCTAAAAGTTTTTGCATATAACCAGGGAGTTGTGTTGAGATATAGACAAACTATTTAAAGAAATCAATTCTATTGATTTCTTTAAATAAAGAAATCTCACTATTGTGTGATTTTAATGTTCATTAAAATTTATTAAAATCACACAATAATGTAATTTTGTGTTATATTTTGTATTATGTGTTTTTACACAGTAGTGTCCTTGTTAAAATAACACAATAGTGTTAAATGTACCCAGATTTTAATGTCTAGGTACAAGTAATTTATCAGTAATCAGTTGGTAACAAAAGTTCAAGATATTTTGAACAAAGTTACAAAAGTTGTGTCAGGAGGAACGGACCAGAACGTCACCAAACTAGCAAGTCATACAGTTTAAAAGAAAATTATCCCTGACACTTTGCAAATGTACGTGAACTTTTAAATTCAAAGAAATTTACAAAAAAAAATGTCTAAAATAAAGAAAAAAAAAGATTTTCACTAATTTTGCGGACATTTAGCATACAGAAACTTTCTGTATGCTTTACTTCAGACAGTGAGAACTTGTTTTTGTATATGTCTCTTTATTCGGTGTATGTAACCTTCTGGTTTCAACTGTATTATAAAACGACATCAACTTTATGACAGTGAAAATCTTCAAAACAAAGTTTGTGTGTTTTATGACTTGTAAGAGCAAAATGTAATGAAGGCTTTATATGTGTTTTTACAAAGTAGTTTTAAACAATTGTGTTATTTGAAATCTTTTTTTTTTTTTTAAAGAAGCTCACTTACACTTTTTCATTATTCTACTATTCAGGTAATAAAACTTTCTGTGATGGCAGAAAGGAGAGAGCTCAGTGTTTTCAACCCTGGGGAGCAACTGTGTTTGTTCACCTGATGGATGAGGTCTCAGAAAAAACAAGATTCCAATGGACAAAAGAAACAACAATAGTACTAATTTGGAGACGCAATGGACTTGTGACAAACACATTAAAGAGCAGATCTGAATTCATCTCCAGCAATGGGACATTTAGGATCAGCAACCTTAGGAGCAGTGATGGTGGTGAATACACACTTAAACTTTTTGATTCTGATGGAAAAATAACAGGAGAACGGACTCTGCAATTGCACATTGAAGGTAAAGTCTGGCGTACAAATTCAAATTGGTAAATTTACACAAAACTGAATTGGTAAATTCTTGATAATCTGCATATTTGAAATTATTTGTATAATTTTTCCATTCATGACCTATGTGAACCTAAAAACAACTGCACCTGTTGATGTCTGACATTGCAGCAGAACTGACTGGTGCTTTCTTATTATTTTCCACTCTACTAACTTTCTTTGTATTTGAAACAGGCCAGTCCCCACTAAGAGTTGGAGCAATCTCTGCTCTGCTTTTGTTTTCCATCTATGTCATCTGTGTAATTGTCATCTGTGCTCAGAGGAAAAGGCAAAATGGAAAAGGTACTAATTAATGCTTATTTCTAACTATTGAAACGTAAACGTTTATATCTTGTAGGAGAGAAATAGTCAAAACTCTAGTTAGAAGAATATTTGGCAAAATATCTGTTGAGTGACTAAATCTTGCTTTTCTACAGGAGAAGAACTCCCTGCTGACTTAACCTACGCTGACATCAGAGTGGTGCAACAGCAAGAGAGGAAGCCAGCAAAGCAAAACATGGAGGAAGAGGTGGAGTACAGCCAAATAAAGATTGCAGGATGATTCCAGTCAAATTTGACTGAAGAAATGAAACTATATGCAGATGAAATGAACTGTTGTCTGCTTTGGTAAAGACTGCAGCCCTCATTGCAGATCCACAGAGAAGATGACGATGCAGACCCCTGAAGATGTTTTGCTCATCTTTAGTCATTGTAACTTTTAAGAAACCATATTTGCTAGCAATGCAAAAACAACTGCTTGTTTATTTTAATTGCAATATTTGCTCATGACTGTAATGTTAAATTTGATAAAGAAGTTTTGAGAAATTGGCAACCACTCAACCCATTAAATTACAAAAAAAAGTTAAGAGGCAAATGCGCTGGAGTCCAAAGAAAAACATGTGTTATTAGTCTTCATATTTTCCGCAGCAACTCCCTACGCAAAATAAAAGTTGTCAATGGTGAAACTAACAAATGGAGCTCAAGCGCAAATTCAAGCCCAATCGTGAATGATTAGTGATATGATAAAGAGATGAAAGATTACTGATGACTTTCTTTTGTGAGGGAGGATGAATGACTAATAAAGAGACATAAGGAGTTCGAATTGCTGCACAGTTAGGCGGATGTCCATTTCTAACTCAGTTTGCAGTGATTCTTTAATCTTTCCAATTTCGGATAATGGATTGGTTCTGCTGTGTGAGATGTTCAACATTTTGGACCTTCTCCACAACTTGACCTGACCTGTTTGCTGTCTGTCGGTCTTCATGATGGCTCTCTAACAGAACAGAACTATTCCTACTGAGATTAGTTCACACACTGCACACTCTACTTAGTCAATAGGCATCGATTTAAGGTAATCTTGAATGCCCTGGAATAAAAAAAACTTTCAGAGATTATGAGTCTAAATAGAAACACATTAATCAATTTTCAGGATTTTAATTGTAAAAAAATAATAATCATACAATTAAACACATAATTATTAATACTCATGACCAAAAGATTTTTAAAAATTGTATTCAACTAAGAAGTTGAATATAGATCGGACTTTGCACTTCTCAAAACAGCACAATATAAAAACCAGTTTTGAAAAATAACGTCCTAATTACAAAATTAGCACAAAATTGATCTACAGCCTTCACAATAATCTTGGGATAAATGTTTATCTAATACTTTGGTTATTTGCCTTTAGTGATGAGCTCCTTTCCATCACCCTAATCTTGATCTCCCTCCACAGAAAAAAAAAAAAAAAAAACATGTCGGAAAATAAATTAAAGATTCAATTAAAGTTGCTATTGCTTAACAGTGTAGATCTTTTCTTCCTGTTCCTAAATGTACTGTACTTTGTTCTGGTCTATCACACAAAATATAAATTAGACACATTTAAATACATGATTTGCAGGTGGAAAAAGAAACAAACTGTGGGAAGGCTTGTTCAAGACACTGTAAAAATTAACTCGCTGTATCTGACTTGAAATGAATGAATGAAATGTACTTTGATCAGGGTGGAAAATATGCTATGAGCTTCACTAAAATTTGAAGACAGTTCAGCAAAAAAACATTTGCATATCTGTAACCTAAAGTATTCCAGCAATTTACTTGTTTTAATATAACGTATGTTATCACATTATAAAAAATTATATCCATAAAATAGTTTTTCTCTACAACAAAGCAAACTGGGAGAAAAGTATAATAAAACCTAAGAAACAGTACCTTTTGTGTAACAGCAGAGGGAAACCTAACAACAGTGTTGTGGTACTCGAAGTTGG